ACTATTTCCCCTCCTCACACCAGTCGACTTCATTCTTTAAAATCTAAAGGTTTATTCACCATTTCCAGATATGGCTTCTGTATTGTCTTGCTCATCTTCACCATTGCTATTCAACAAGGCCAGATCAAGTTCCACCAAGGATATTTCCCCATGTTCTGTATTCTTTCCGTCAATGACATCTTCCAACAACAGCACATCTCATCGGCTGCATGTTGTGAGAGCTCAGACCACCGGTGGAGACAACAAGGAACCGATAGTGGATGTGCATGTCGATGAAAGTAATCAAGCGAAGGCCGATGAAAGGAGACCTAAACAATGGGCTATGGATATCTCTCATTTTGGCAAGTCTTATACCCTGTTTTAGAGTCCTCTTGATATATTCTGTTTCCATGTTTCGAATGATTTCTTCTTCAACTGAATATTGGATTGATTCCTTGCATTTCGTCTTTGGTTTTCGCCATTGATTTTTATGATTTTTTGGAATTATCTAACATGATGGATGGTATAACAGGTTTTTTAGACCCATTGTCTACAGTGAAGATAATGCTTCGAATGTACAGGACATTCGAGGATTCCATAATATTCCCTGGCCAGACAGGTGGCGAGTTGGGTGCACCTTGGGACATCCATGATGATGAAAACGGAATCAAGATGCGATTCGACATGCCAGGACTTTCCAAGGAGGACGTCAAGGTCTCAGTGGAGGACGGCATGCTAATCATCAGAGCAGAGCACAAGAAGGAAGGTGGAGACGATTCATGGAGTAGCAGGAACTTTAGTAAATACGATGCTCATCTTCAACTTACCGACAACTATGATAAAAACAAGATCAAAGCAGAGCTCAAGAATGGAGTTCTGTCCATCTCCATTCCTAAGAACAAAGAAGGGAAAAAGGTCATTAATGTCAAACTTTAGTAAATGGTCTCTTTTTCTTTTCTTTTTTTTCTTTTTTTTTATTTAACACGAAGAATTATGAACGAAACGTGAATTTTTTAAATAGTTGATAGAAGCTGAATTTATAAATTCAAGTATTAAAGTTTGAGACGAATCATTAGACAAGATTTATTTTTAATAAATAATTTTCGTTTTATTGTATTTTCTTCCCTGTTTTTAATTAATCTCTGAGGTATGTGTGGGAATGTGGTTTCAAAAGAATGCCTTTGAATTGTGGCCTTCGAATTTCAATATTACTGTTTAGTTGTACTTAAATATGATGTAATTTTTTTGATAAAATTTCATTAATATAGTTAGTAATAGATTATAAAAATGATAGCAAGAAAAAACCGAGTAAAAGAAATCGTTATCAATCTCACTCAGCATTTGCTAGAATTTTTGTAGTTGGCCTAATGTCACAATAAGTAAAATCCCAAAGAACCCAACATTACTACGAGCTCTTATTCAAAGATTAAATAAAAATTAAACCACTAAATGATGGGGCAAAACCCCACCATTCCCTCCTCTGGCCGTAAGGGGTGTTTGGTTGGGGACACTCACCCCTACACATTTCTAAAATTTTTTATGTATAAAGTTATTTACATATT